AAGTGATATAATGTATAGGCCTGTTATGGTTCAGGGCTTTTCATCTTTCAGCTGCCTGCGTGCATGTTGGAGGTGCAAAGACTCCTGAGCGTGTAATGTTAATTTTTACCTGTGTTCATTGAATAAATCAGCACTGTTTTGAAGTTACTCGGACTGCTTCGTCTCTCAGAGTTAACGGTGAAAAGAACTGGGTCCCAACAACAGCCAACTCTCAGTTTGTTAACGGAAACATCACAGGTTATAGAACATCTGAAGGAGGAAGAGGATGGTACATTGGCAGCTCAGGGAGTTGAGTTTACAGTTGCATCATTAGCCACTGACCCTAGAAAAGCTGCACAATTATGGAGTCATCCATGTGTTTCAACACAGTTTGAGATCTTGAATGTCCTCAGTGCTCCTGTACTGTACCCATCTCTTTCTACACTGGAGGAGAGCCCTATGATACAGCTCTGTGAGGAAGCTGTGAAGAATGTTGCAAAATGACCTGCAGTGTTGGCACTTCCTGAGCAGATATCTCCTCCAAGTTTGCAGCCTCTAGAGCAGGGGTGGGAAATTAATTTTTACAAGGGTCCACATGAGAAACCTGAACTGTGTTGGAGGGCTGAACCAACGATAACTTGATTCTGCTCAATATTCATTATCTTCCATTGCAGAAAGTGGTAAATTATATGTTGATTAGCCGCTACTGGTAATCAGTAGAATAAGCATATTCTGTAAATATTTATAGAAATATATGAAATTTGGGGGTAGGTCAAACAGGAAAATACTCTTATAGAAGTAATAAACAGTAAAACCAAACATTACATCACAGTTCCATTTTATTTTCAACTTCACATAACACTAAAAAGGTATTTTGCAGTATGTTAAAGATATGCATTTTCAGTTCATTTCACTTGCTCAGTAAGAGAAATCCAGTCTGGCTTGGGCTTGAACAAGTGCATTAAAATCTGGCTGAATATCTGAGGTGGATATGCGAAGGATAGGTGAGAGGTGATTATCACTGATAGAGTATCTGGATTTGTTGAACTTCATCACTGAGAATGTGACTAGTGACTGTAAAGTTTATGTCAACCAATTGTAATATTTTATGGGTTATACCGTATTTTTTTCAGCGAAATTCTGGTAACCACAGCTGCGAGTAATTAGAGAGTCTGTAAAATCAAAATTTTACATAATA